CCGGAGGTTCCTATTTAACCTTTCAAGTTACTGTTTCATGGCTGTTTTTCTAAGGCTGGGTGACATTGTAGTCCCTCTCTTACCCCCTTGTGCTTGCCCACTCTCCCCATCCCACTCTAGGCCATCACTAGGGGTCTGTTGGCCATAGCAAAAACCATTTCTAGCCCTTTTTCTTTGTAAGAGGTTCATCACTCATGAACTTCAGGATAGGAAGTACCGGTCATTGTGAAGCCTGTAGGACAGGCTGATGCTTTCCTAAGCAGGTCTTCACAGGTGTTTATGCCCCTCCCTACTCAGGAACTGAATTTTGATCTGCATCCTTTAGTCCCCCACCCCACGTGGCTGTTCCGCACTAAGAGATTCAAGGCCCTTGCTATCAGTTCTTACATCTCCTGTGGATTTTGAGAGGAGGAGGGAGGAGATGGAGAAGTGGTAGAGAGCAAGAGGAGGGTTAGGTGGGTGCACAGTTTCTAAGAGGTGCAAGCTTATAGGCATTAAATTACTGTAATTTGTTTTTAAAATTCTAAATCTGTTTTCTTTATATATATGTATCTAAAAAACTGCAGTTAGTGAACTGACACGGTTAAATCAGTTGAAGTGTACAAATGTATACATAAAATACAAGCCCTCCAACGGCCTAATCACAGACATAAAATAATTCTCTTGCTTTTAATGCAGTTTTTATCTTTGATTAATGAAACATATTATAGTGTTGGAACTTAAGTGAAGTTGGATACTTTTTCCTTTTAGTCAGTACAAAGCAAATCAGGAATAATGGCATCATTTCATTTAGGAAAATTATTAAGTTCATGGGTTTTTTTTCCCCCAGACTCTTTTGTGGAGAGCACTGCGATTTCTTTTTCCCCTGAGCTACCTTTTTCCCTTTGCTTTTATACTGCTTTCCCTGAAATGAAAGGCACGCATCAAGCATTGGTTATCCCGTGGCTTCACTTTGGAAAGTCTCTAATGGTTTCTCCCTGTCACGATAGCTCCTGACGCCTGTCTGGTGGCATGTTGCCTGGCCAGGGGCCCCGGCATGGAAAGGCCATTTTTGTGAAAAGGAGAGAATTTTGTCTATTAAATGAGTGAATGACTTAAGTCTGCCGAACTGAGGGAGAATAGTTTGTTCTCTCTAATAGCTAATGGTCCTCATTATCCCACAGTAAAATGTGGATCAGTTTTCTAAAGCTCATGTAAGATTATTGCTGTTGGGCTTAAATAAAGCAAAATTTTACTTTTTCCATCTGTGAATGGGGGGAGAAAAGTATAGTATTACTCTTCTTGTACAATAGCCCTATGGGGGAAACATAGGCACTAAAACTTGGAGCTCTTAGCTTTTGTTCTTCAGACTATAGGTTTTTCTCCCTCTTATTCTAATGAAAGCACTCTATAGTCTGTGGATGAAATATTCACTATGCACAAGCATCCAAATAGTCTTCTGTACCTAGCAACGCAAGCCAGTGATGAGAATAGTCTAAAGTTCATTCTCAAATTTCACTTTTTTAATAAATGTCTATATCATACATAACCGTACTGCCTATTATAACTTCCTTCCAATGGACAATGATCTCCAATAGCAGGGATGGACATGTCTTCATGGACAGTGATAATATTTCAGGCGTTTGGCCTCCCGGGCTGTTCTCTCATTGGGTCTAAGAGATTAACTTTGTTACAAGGAAGCGAGAACCTAGAACTCCGTCTCTCAAGATCGTGTTTAAAACAAAAGCAAGAACATACTGCACCCAGTGTGCTCCTGGGTTTAAATTAGAAAGCAAAAATCCCCCTTATCAAAAATATACCATGCTACTTGTGTTACTCCAGAAAGTAATTGGTGTAATAGCCAGGGTCTCGAAACAACCTCTAAGAAACCTGTGCCACAATGGGCGCCTCTGGCAGGCCCAAGTAGATATATATGTTTAAAGGGGATGAGAAGAAACAATGAAAATGAGGGTGGGGAGGAGAATGATGCTACCCTCAGGTGTCTCCGGTTCTTTTT